CCGGTCCGCTCCCTCCTCTGCCCACGACCGGCGCCAGGAGCCTCATGGCGACCCCAGAACGTACCGGCTCCTGCCTGACAAGCGGAGGGACAAGCACAGCCGTCACTCTGCCCGTCCCGGGATCCCTTACAGTTGCCTCAGCTGGCCACGCTGGGATGTTGTCGCGAGAGGAGGACCGGAAATCCCGTATGCAGAACGCCGGTGAAAGGGACGAGTAGGCGGGCCAAAAATACACGTGGAGCAAAGGGCGGGGCCTGCGAAGGGGGGGGAGGGCGTGGGAGGCGGGGCGAGCCGGCAGGAAGTGGTGCAGCTTGGGTGATGTAGTCCCTGCGGCTTTCACCCCGTCGCGTAAGCTTAAAATGCTCGATCTACGGCCTGGAGGGCTGGCTCACAGTTTAAAAGCAGCTTTTCTTCCAGAGGCCTGGGTTCAGTTTCCAGCACCCAAGGCTCAGCCTTCTACGTTTCCAGTTCTGTAGAATCTGAGGCCCTCTTCTTAACTCGGAGGGAAGGCACCAGTCACAAACACTCATATACATAAAATAGATAAACCACCTAAAAATAGATGCCCAATATAAATATGGCCATGGACAGTCTTTAAGAATATCAAGTCACTGTTTACGAAGCAATTGATACACAAAAGAAAATCTGAAAACTTTCTTCTATATTACAAACGTTTGACTTTTCAAAAGGAGAAGCAGAAAAGAAAAAAACGCTTTTCATTAAAGAAAGTTATTCTTAAAGAAATAATCTAGACATATTTTTTCTGAGAAGTGAATTTACAAAGTAGATGAAAATAGATACATCAGCAACTGTATCAACGTGGTTTCAGAAACTGGTGTCCAAAAAAAGATTCTACCTAACATTTTTAAGAATTCTTTTATGTTTATTTTGAGTGTTTTGCCTGCATACGTGTCCGTACTAAATGCATGCCTAGTGCCAGAGGAGATCAGAAGACAACAACTGGTGGTGAGCCACCTTGTGGGTGCCGGGAACTGAAGTCCGTCTTCTGTAAGCCTAAGCGCTCTCAACCTTGGGGCCATCTCTCAAGCCCCAGTAATGACATTTTCATCTATGCACATGATGATAGTTATGTGCTGGATAGTTTTATGTCGATTTGACACGGGCTAAAGTCTTCTGGGGGGCGGGGACCACAATTAAGAAAATGCTTCCACAAAACTGAGCAGTAGGCAAGCCTATAGGGCATTTTCTTAATTAGTGACTGATGAAGGAGAGCCCAATCCATATGGGTGGTGCCATTTCTGGGCTGTTGGTTCTGGGTTCTGTAAGAAAACAGGCTGAGCAAGCCATGAGGAGCAAGTCAGTAAACAGGCCTCCACCATGGCCTCTGTATCAGCTCCTGCCTCCAAGTTCCTGCCCCACTTGAGTTCCTGCCCTGACTTCCTTCAGTAATGACCTGTGTTGTGGTCATGTAAGCATATTAAACCCTTTCCTTCCCAGCTGCTTTTGGTCATGGTGTTTTACCACAATAGTAAATCTAACAAAGACTCAAAGGTATATCCTTCTGAAGATGTTACTAAAGGAAATAAACTAAGAAAAGGGAAAACAGAAACAGTTTCCAGGAATTATCAGTAGAGTTCAGATAAAGCAGATCACCAGTCCATTTGTAGCTATCCATAGGCTCTGAGACAAAGAAACAAGAATTGACAACATCTGTAATGCTTTGGAACGACTTCAGAAGGAGATAGATAAGCAGCTGGCAAAGTTTCGTACTGATGAGGGAAATCTATAACGAAACTACACATATAAATTCAACAACTTGGATGCAATAGACCATTTCCTTAAGTCCACCAACCAATAATAATAAGTTGCTTATTACATTAAACAATACTCTCTTAATGTAAAAGTGTGCGAGTCACACATTCACTACAAAGGACTTGGAATGTGAAACTTGAAAAATCCTCCCATTCCCACTTCCAAACCACCAGGTCCAAATCATTTCACTGGAGAACAATACCACATGTTTAAAAAAAAACAGCAAGCACAGATTCTGTGCACTCTCTACCAGGAGAGAGCAGAGAAAGGCAAATGGCATTATTGTTTACATGGGAAATCTGAAGAAAAGTTCCTAGAACTAGTAAGTGGACTCAACAAGATATCAAGATACAAGAGAAACACACAAAATTGCTGAGATGTATTTGTATTTGTATATATGTGCATCTGTGTAAGTGTGTATTCCATGCGTATTCAGGTGCCTGTAGAGGTCAGAAGAGGGTGTCAGATCCCCTGGAGTTACAGGTGGCATTAAGCTGCCCAACATGGGAGCTAAGAACCAAACTCTGGTCCTCTGAAAGAGTAGCAAATGATCTTAACGGCTGAGTCATTTCTTCAGTTCCAAAAATTATGTATGTTTTTTATACTCATAATAAATATTGAAATTTACTGCAACATAAATTATAGTTACTTTTTTTACAAATGTGCTTAATTTCTACCAAAACAGACAAGAGTGTCTATTTTCGCCATTTTCAGTATAGTTTTGGAAGTTTTAGCTAGACTGGTAAAAACAAGAGACATAATATAAGGAATACAAAGAAAAAAGAAAGAAATCCAAACATTCTTATTTGCAGTGATAAGATCCTATACATAACAGACCTAAGGACTCCAACAGAAGTCTTGCAACTGGAGGCTGGGGAGATGACTGAGTCAACAAGGGGCTTGCCATGGAGGACCTGAGTTTGGATACCCGGAAACCACATAACTTCTTGCAGAGGACCAGAGTTCAGTTCCGAATGCCCACGTTGACAACTTACAATGGCTTGTACCTCCAGCTCTAAGGAGATGTGATGCCGGTAGCTTTTGTGGGATTCTGCACTCATGTGCATATACCCACACTCTGACCAGCCCCATTAATAAAAAAAAATAAACCTTTACTTTTTTAATTTATTTAATTAAAATTAAATAAATAAACATTTAATTTTTAAATGTTTTTAAAGACTGGGCATAGTGGGGTGTATCTGTAATCCCATAGTTGGGTAAGATGAGACACGCTAGTCTCTGCTTACAAGTAGTACAGGGTCCTACTAGCCAGCCAATATAAACAAATCAGTGAACTCCTGGTTCAGCGAGAGAGCCCATCTCAAACAATAAGGTTGATGGTGATCGAGGAAGACACCTGAAAACAACCTCTGACCTCCACAAGTATGTGTGCACCTGCACAAACATGCATACACATGAGCAGGTACACACACCAGCAAAGGGAAGGGGAATCACTTAGAACTGTCATGCACTTTCACCAAAGTGATGGTACAAAATGAACACATTCAACACAAAATTCAATGACCTTTTTATATACCAATAACAAGCATGCTGGAGAAGAAACCAAGAAAATTATCTAAAGGCATGAAAGGCCTCTACAATGAAAACTTTAAAATACTGAAGAAAGAATTCGATGGAGAGACACCTCAGTTTCATAGATTGAAATAATCGATATTTGTAGGAGCCCACATGTGACTCGGTTTCCATCTGGAGTCATTTCTGACTTAAAGAAGTTTGAATTCAAGCTTGTCTGC